TTTAAAGCTTTCCTCTCTGATTTTTTTCAATGACTCATTGGTCATTCAAGTGTCTTGTTTAGTGTCTGTGTATTTGAATACTTTCTTTTGTTGTTGTTTTTTGTTTGTTTGTTTTGTTTTGTTTTATTCTGCTATGATTTGGTTGATACAAGAAATTATTTTGTTTCTTTTGTATTTCATAAGATTCAATTTGTGGCCTAGATGTAGTCTGTTTTAGGGGAGGGTACATGGTCAGCTGAGAAAAATATGTATTTAGTGTCTATTGGAGATAATATTATGTGTGTGTGTGTGTGTGTGTGTGTGTGTGTGTGTGTGTGTATGTATCTGTTAAGACCATTTGACCTGTAGTATAGTGTAACTCTGGATTTTCTTTGAATTTGAGTTTGGATGACCTATCTGAAGATGAGAGAGGGGTTTTTGAAATCACTCACTGTTATTGTTACAAGACCTAGCTGACCTTTTATGTCCATTAGTATTTGTTTTATGCAGTTGGAATCCTCAACATTTGGTGAATATGCATATTGCAGTTTTTATCTTTTTAAACAATATTTTATGATTTTTATTTTATGTGTGTGGTGTGTGTGTTGCCTACATGTATGTAAATGCACCCATGTTGTACAAGCCTTTGGAGGCCAGAAGAGGGTGTCAGATCCCCTAGAACTGGAGTTACAGATGGTTATTTAGCTGTCATGCGGGTGCTGGGAATTGAATCTGGGGCCTCTGGAAGAGCAGCCAGTGCTCTTAACTGCAGAGACATCTCTCCTGCCCTTACACATTCATATAATTTTTTGTTGAAATGTTTCCTCTGTTAATATGTAGTAGCCTTTTAATCTCTCCTGATTAATTTTGGTTAAAGTCTACTTTGTCAGATGTCAGAACAGCTGTGCCACTTGCTTTGCTTTTCATTTACTTGACAGGTTGTCTTCCATCCTTTGACTCTCAGTCTGTGGGTGTCTTCACCAGGAGATAACAGAAAATTATTATATGCAGTTTAAAATATATTTATTTAATGTTTAGTGTGTGTGTGTGGGGGGGGTTAGATGTACATCATCAGTGCAAGTACTTGCAGAGGCCAGAAAGAGTTGTTGGATCCCCTGGAGCTGGAGTTACAGGTGGTTGAGAGTTGTCTGATATGGGTTTGGGGAATTGATCTTGGGTCTTTTGCAATAGCAATGTGTGTTCTTAACAACTACTGAGCCCTTTCTCCAGCCCCTGGATCTACTTTTTAAACCCAGACAGCTAGTCTGTGTCTCTTTATTTACATTTAGTTTACTATTGATGTTTACCAATTTTTGCAATTTTTTGTTGTTTTTCTGGTTAGTTAGATTATTATTTGTTCTTTTTGTGTTAGGCATTTGCTGGATTGCTGTGCTGGACATGATAGGTCCTTTCCTTTTCAAACTTTGATCATCTTTTTTTCTCTTGACATTATTCTTTGCTTTCATGACTGGGACTTTCTACTTCCTCTGTGCATAGTATTTCTTTAAGTGTCTTCTGCAGTGCTGGCTAGGTGGTTGTGAACTTCCTTAGTTTCTGCTTAGCTTGAAATGTCCCTATTTCAGCATCATTTTAAAAAGATGGTGTTGGTGGATAAAGCACCTAACTGGCAATTATTTTACTTATCATTCCAAATGATCCTGACTTTTAGGGTTGCTCATGAGCTCTCTGATGTTACCGATGGTGTGTTTTTCTTTGTAAGAGAGCGGGCTTTTCCCCGTTAACTTTCAATATTGTATTTTTGCTTTGTATTATGACATATTGACTATAGTTGTGGGAGATGTTCCTCTGGTCATATCTCAGTTTATGTGTCCATTTCTTTCTTTAGATTTTGGGAGAATTTCTGGTATAATTTCATTGATTAGATTCTCTCTATGCTTTTAGTGTTTATCTCAACTCCTTCCATCACATGGATTCCCGGGTTTGTCTCTTGATCATATCTCAGAGTTCTTGGACATTGTGGTCATACTTATTTTTCATTATTGATATTTGAATGTGGTATCCATTGGCTTTGTGTCCATTGTGATATTCTTTCTTCTGCTTGGTTATAAGTCTATTGGTGATGTTTTCCACTCTGCTTTTTATTCAGTTCATTGAGTTTTTCATTTACTATGTTTCTTTGCTTCTTTACTTTTTTTTTTCTTCAAAAATCTCAATGTCCTTGTTGGATTTTTTGTCTGTTGCTGAAATTTTAAAATCCATGCTGCTGATTTTCTCATCCATTTTGCTGATTTTTTTCCTTTATGTTGTTGACTTTAATTGACAGGTTCTGGATTGAATTCCCCTTGCTTGTTTGCATCTTCTTTTAGGTCATTGGTCATTTTTAATAGCAAACTTCTGAAATCTTCATCTGGCAAAAGAGTTAACAATATGGAAAAGTTCAAAACTGAAAGTAGACACACATTAGGAGAGGCATAAGAACCGAAAACAAGAGTATTAAAGAGACAGTAAGGTAAAGTCAAAACACCACTGAAGACAGAGGATGCAAAGGAGGAAACACATGGGACAAGAAAGAAAAGGGGAACCAAGGAAACGCTTGTCCGATAACGGGAAAATATGTGTGAGATCAGATGAGCGTATGAAGGGAATAGGACTATAAATATAAAAACGAAAATACAACCAAATGAAAATGTTGTCAAAAGCGTATTGAAAAATAGGAACTTGTAAGGGTCAAAAAACAAAAGATAAAATCTAGATGAAGTGGTGATGTGGCTTATTTTTGGGCCCTCAAAAATGTGAAGCTGTTAGTTTCATGTTCAGACTGGAGGGGAGATCAGTCAAACTTGTACTCTGCTGCTGAGTCTGTACTGGATGTGTCTGAAGTCTGTCAGAATCCTCATCCTTTTGGTAGCTTCTTTTTGTGTGTACCAACGTTCTCTGCTGGCTATACCCAGCTTTGGGTTCTGTGGGTTGAGGGGTTCTTTCACCTTCTTAGGAAAGCCCCAGATGGTATCCTCTGGGGTGAGGAATGTTCAAGTTTGGGGATGATCCAAGTGCACTGAAGTGTGGGAAGCAACCACAGCAATAAGAGCTGCACAGGCAGAGAAACTGCCTTGTACTGGAGACCTCCAGAGTATTAATTATCCTGCTGGAGGGATGTCAGTTGTGTATCAGATAGACACTGAAGCATCAGAGTTCTCTGGCTCTATAGCAGTGAATGGCAGACAGGTGGTTCCAGAGGCATGATCACCTGCCCCACAGCTCTCAGACTCCAGGGTTATTCCAAGTTGGTGAGATCTGCTCCTGGCCACCCACAGTGAGGCTCTTTTCTCTACACACTTCCCTGCCTGGGCTGAGCCTCCTGCTGCCCATACTCTTCAGCTTGACAGCATTTGGTTCTCTTGTTCTCCACAGCTGCCTCCCATGGCCTTCCTCACTTTGGAGTTGTGGTAGGCCGAACCCAGCCTCCTTACCTTGTGGCCTTCCCTGTTCTCAGTCTCCCAGGGTGCCTCAGTTTCTGTTTTGTTTTTTGAATGCACTGAGTCCACTTAGTGTTGCTTGTATGTGCACAGATGTAGGACTGTCTATTGGAACATGTGGAGCCTCTCAGGGCATGTATCCCTGAAGAAAATTGATTCTTGCTCCCTAAGCAGTCATCAGACTTCCTGAGTGCCCCCCCACCCAATCCATGCTGGTATTTTGGCTGGCTTGATCTTGTGCAGGTCTTGTGCATTTGGCCCCAGCAGCTGTGAATTTGTGTGTGCAAGGGCTCTATCATATCTGGCAAATACTGTTTCCCTGCAGATGAGTAGTCCTCTTTCCCCTCCAAAATGACACCTGGCTGCTGTCCTCTGAGTCATGTAGAATGACTCAGTGGGGTTTTTCTCTACTAGGGCAATCAGTCTCACCAAAACCTGAGATGAGACTTGGAGCTTACTAAAGACAAGCTGTGAGCTTGTCCTGAGGGTAGAAATGTCTGGCTCTTGCCAGGCTTACCTTTTGGAGTTGCCTCTGCTTTCCTCCCCTGGCTATGGCTGTGTGACTGAAGGGGGCTGGCTAATCAGGGTGCTGCCCATCATCTCTGCACCTTTCAGGTATCCTTTCACTTTCTTTGTGGATTTCTGAAGCTTGTTGTCTTTTCTCCCTGTGTAATAGGGCATATTTTTTTCTTATTCTGACTCTCCTTCACTAGGTCACATGAAGGCAGCATCTAGCCTGCCATCTTACTTGGAAATCTTGGCAAAATGACATTCTGACAGTCTTGTTCAGCTAGATGAAATGACCTTGGTTACACTGATCATGAGAGATCCTTCTATTATAGTTATTTGGCTTTTATACTTATTTTTAATGATAGATCCAGCCTTGTAGATGCATTGCAGATGAAGAGATGGTTAGCAGTTGTCTCAGGATGGAGGGAAAGTATGTAGAACTGAAGTTTTAATGCAGGCTGACCTGGAATTTTGAGAATTTGTTTTTTTATGTTTTTCTTAGCAATCATATCTGTTTCTCTTCCAAGTTTTTTAGTTCATTTTTTCCCCCCTAAAACTCAGTTGCTGTGCTTGCTTACTTGACCAAAGTATTGTAAGTAACTTTTTGTGAAATAAATGAATTGAAATTTATTTTGAATCTATAAAATTTAGAATACATTTGTCTTGGATTGTGTATTTTTTTTTATCAATAGTATCGTCTCTTAGAAATGTTCTACTTTAACAAATAATACTTTTTTCTCCCCACTGAAAGGTTGTCATGGAGATTTAGTGCTACATTGACTTACTAAAGATAAGCTACATCTTTTGTTATAGATTTCTAAACTATAGTCTGCTGGATTTTAATGAGCTATTTTGCTTTGATATGTAGAATAATTTAGTTATGGTGTCTTTATTCAAAGTTGCCAGGAAAGAATATAATTAAATACCTTTTTCTTCAGGTGAAATTAGTAAGTTTAGAATTTACCATGGTCTAACATGTTAGTGATTGAAAATGAAAAAAAAATACATCTAATGATTTTATTTAAGGTGGTAAAGACTACTGAGTGTATAATAATTACTTTGATTTCTGTGCAGCATCACTAGTTATTCCTGCTGGTCGAACTCTTCCAAGTTTTCCCTCAGAAGAATTGGTATGTTGCTCATTCTTTTTTACTGAAGGTGGCAGAATGTTAACAACAGAAAACTGAGTAGTTTCCCAGCTAAGGAAGAACAGCACATTTCACCCTTTCTCTGTCCTGCTCCTGATGTTGTAGGAGCCACTGTTTGATGCTGTTTTAGCCCAAGAACTGCCTTCCTGGGGTAGAAGTCTTAGTGGGTCAGTCATTTGCCTTCTTCATTAAGAATGAACAAAAACTCTGCCTCTCATCAGGTATTTGGGAAGAATGGCACTGCTTTTCATGAGATTCATGGAAATATCTTTTTCCATGATTAAATAAACACTATTCTCTAAAAAGCAAAAACAAATTTATAAAGTAAAATGTGAAGGAGCCCTGGGCTCATATTCCTCAAAGATGACTGTTTAATTGTATATTCACCAGACTTCTTTCATGAATATTGTATTACTTTTCAGGGTGAAAGCAGAATGTCTTTCTTTACTATTTTTATAATTTTCTTCCCTCCATCCTTCCTTGTTTCCTTTCTTCTGCCTACTCTTTTACTCATATAGATGAACTTCTTTCAATGCCAATCAATAAACATTCACCATAGTAGAAAATACTACAGTTTCATTAACCAACCTTATATTGGTAGACATTGAAATTATTTTCATTTTTTTCTAATATAGAATTCTATTGCTTATATTTGTACATGTCTATTACTGTGTGATAGGTAAATTCCTAGAAGTTGAATTTCCGAGTCAAAGGTGATGCATGTATTTAATTTTGGTGTTATCAAACTTGTCCTTCCAAAGGGTTGTACCAGTGTGTGCCCATAAAAAGAGTAGTTTGAGAAAACCAGTTTTTATCACACCTTCTCCACCATTGGGTGCTACTTATGCCAAAGCAAAACATAGCTCTTGTTTCAAAGTGGGGGTAGTTTATTTTGAGCCAAATATGAATGACTGTGGCCCAGGAGCACAGGTTCAGGTTGGCCTGAATGGTGTGCTGCTCCACCGCAGAGATGGTTACATGATCTTTTACAGTCACATAACAGAAGACAATCGTGAGTCAATGCATTTATCAAACATGTGAGGACATCAGATAGGCAGGTCACAGCAAAATTAGAAATCTTTGCTGTAGTTTTTGGTGTCACTAGATGACATGCTTAGCTTTTTTGGGTTGGGGAAGTTAGTGGTCTCCTAAGTTAATCAATTTCAAAGGTTTTACCTGGTAGTCAAAGGGCTGTTAGATCAGATTCATAGGTGGGTGATAAATGGCTATTAAATGGACAGCTATCAATCTGCAACACTCCAGCTCTACATAGTCATGCAGTTCTAACCAGTCAGTCTGCAGAGTTTCTGACAGACGTGCAGCCTTTTTTAGGAACTTCAGTTCACACTTATCACTTAAAGTTCTATAGATCTGATTGACAAAAATGTTTCTTTGTCTTGTTTTTGTCTTTTTTAAAACCTTGAGCTTAATTACACCAAAATAAAAATCTCACATTATAAATATGCTATCATATGTGCTACTATATGTATTTGAAAATACCATTAAAGATCAACTTAGAATCTGGAAGGATCTTTTGAACAGTTATGGTTCTAACATTTGATCCCTTGAGAATCAATAGTCCAGACAAAGCTGTGTGTGCGCAAGTTTCATGGGATGGTACTCATTCTGTTCATTAAGATTTACTGGATTCACTGCTAATTACTGCAATGTAGAATTCCTCTTGATCCTTAATGGAATGATTTAAATAAAATGTTAAAATGTCATTTTATTCAAAGAACGCAGTCTTGAATGTTAAGTGTAGTCAAGTTATTGTCTTCTCCTCTAGAATGAGATTTTTTAAACTCCCTATGTGATCATTGAAAAAAGATATAATTAAGGTCCTTTAATAACTTTCTAATAAAAATGCCTTATATCTAGAGTCTTTCCAACTGCAGCGCAAACTTTGCTTTTCCTGGCTATCCGATCCATGCACCAGCAGGTGTGGCCCTGCAGACTGCATCTGGTGAGACTCTCTTCTAAGAACATTTGATTTTTAGCATTGGTAGTAACGTCTGGGCATTGTTTCATGATTAAGAAGCTTATTTCTTCTTTGAGAATACCATACATGTACACCATGTGACCTTCCTCCTACTTCTCCAGGAAGGTTTCATGGTTCTTAATAAACTGTATAGTTTAGGAACCTTTGGTAAAGCAGTTATTATTGTTATAGCTCTTTTCCCAGTGTTATATAAGATACTTAGTATATATTTTCTGCAACTCAAATTAAGTTTTATTTTTTTATTTTTATTTTTTGGTCTTTTTGAGACAGGGTCTCCCTGTAGCTCCAACTGTCCTGGAACGCACTATGTAGACCAGGCTGGCCTTGAACTCACAGAGATCCTCCTGCCTCCGCCTCCCAAGTGCTGGGATTAAAGGCGTGCGCCACCATGCCCGGCTAGTTTTATTTTTTAAACACTTTAATTTCATTCTATTATTTATTAATTTGTGTGTGTGTGTGTGTGTGTGTGTGTGTGTGTGTGTGTGTGTATGCGGGTGGGTGGGTGTGTACACATTGTGCTTGTGGAGGTCAGAGGACAGCTTTTGGGGTTGGTTCTCTATGTGGGTCCCGGGACTTTTACCCTCTGAGCCAACTTGCTGGCCCAGGTATTTCAAGTTTAGCAAATACAAGGTGAAAGAGCATATCTGATTTTGTAGTGCTGATCAAGTTTGATCAACTCTGCCTCCTTTCTTACTCCAAATTGCATAGCCTAATGGAAAGGGTGTCCAACAGATAGGAGGTATATTACTCTTCTGTTGTTGTGATAAAACACCATGACTAGTGCAACTTATAGAGGGAAAAGTGTGGGATTACCCAGTGTATAAGAGTACATCATGGTGGGAAGCATGGCAGGAGGCCACAGAAAAGTGAGTGCTTCCATCTTCCAGCAGGCACAGGACACAGAGAGGACAAACTCCAAGTGGGCAAGGCTCTGAACTGTGAAAGCTTATCCCCAGTGATGTGCTTCTTCCAGCAATAGCCATGTGGAAGATTCCATGACTTTCCCCAAACAGCCCCACCAGCTGGGGTCCATATAACAAGGGTTCAAATGTTTGAGCCTATGGGGGAACTTTTAAAATTCAAACCAGCCCCTGCTTTACAGCACTGTCTCCTGATTTGAAAAGTGTGCAGACTTATTCATTGGGTTAATGTAATATTTAAGTAAAGTACCTAACTCAATGCTAAAAAATAAATTCTTAGCCGGGCGTGGTGGCGCATGCCTTTAATCCCAGCACTTGGGAGGCAGAGGCAGGTGGATCTCTGTGAGTTCAAGGCCAGCCTGGTCTACATAGTGAGTTCCAGGAAAGCTGAGGTCAAAAAGACCAAAAAAAAAAAAAAATTCTTTTAAATTCTTTTTAAGAATTTGTTTTAAAGGAAAGAGAAGAGGTTTAAATGATTAAACCCTTCTTTTTGGATGCTTTATGTGTAATGCATATCTTAAATATATGAAATATGTTTTACATGACTATGCTTGTTAAAATTCCATTGTGAGCTGATAAAATATTCATTTTTCAAATAATAGAAGAAGCTCATGGATTAAATATTGGTGGCCTGTATATATCTCAAAATATATCAATTTAAAAATAATAGAATGAGGCTAGAATTAAAGCAAAACAAATATAATTTTAATAATGTTTATTGTGGGAAAAAAAAGTCAATAGAATTCTTAGCAATAACCTCTGAATGTATGATACATTTCTTCCCAGCCTGTTGTGAGTGAGTTTTGTTTTTTTTTAAAGAAAATTAGAATTCAGGGTTGGGGAGATGGATCAGTGGTTAAGAGTAATGGCTGCTCTTGCAGAGGACCCCAGGTTTGGTTTCCAGCACCCACATGGTGACTAACAACTGTCCATAACTCCAGTTCCAAAGGATCCAATGCCCTCTTTTGGCCTTCACAGGCATTGCATGACATGGGTGCAGTTAGATACATGCAGGTAAAACACTCAAAAAGAAACTTTAAGATTTTAAAAAGGGTGCTAGAGAGATGGCTCAGAGGTTAAGAGCACTTGTTCTTATAGAGGATTCAGGCTCAATTCCCAGTGTCCACATGACAGCTAACAATTGCCTGTAATTCCAGTTCCAGGGGAATCCAACACCCTCTTCTGACCTCTGTGGGCATTACATGACATAGGTGCAATTATATACATGCAGACAATATACTCATACACATAAAATAAAAATAATAAAATATTTAAAAAATTAAAAAAAAGAAAATTAGAATTCTATTTGACCAGGGAGATGACTCAGCAGGTAAGAGGTGCTTGCTGTGCAAATATTAGGACCCGAGTTCAAATCTCCATTACCCATGAAAAAAGCCAGGAATAGCCAGCCGTGAGTACCTGTAACCTCAGGGCTGTAGGGGACAAAGAGAGGAGGATCATTGGGGCTTGTTGGTTGTTAGCCTAGCTCTAGGTTCAGTAAGAAGCTCTGTCTCAAGCAAATAAGGAAGAGTGATAGAGCAGAACACTGATGTCTTCTGTGGGCACACCTGCACACACCACACACCTATACCACCCTCCACCACTATAAAAAGAATTCTGTTATACTTACAATTTTGTTTTCTCCCCTTTTTAAGGACACCTTTATAAAGTCAATGTACCAATTATGGTGACACAAACTTCTGGAAGGACAGATATTCTTCAGCAGGTCTTTCAGCAGCTCGGGCAACCTGCAGTAATACAGACCGCTGTTCCTCCATTGCACCCATGTTCTCTTCAGGCAGCTCCTGAAAAATCGCACAGAATGGGAAGTGTGCTGCAACAGCCCACCATTCTGCATTCCGTGCCAATGGACAGGAAACATTTAGAAAATGCCACCAGTGACAGATGTGTCCTTTCTGGAAATGAACATAAAACCATGTCTGAGGCTTTGCTGAGGCAGCAGGAGAGCTCACAGTACATCAGTCTCCCGGGTGTGGGATTTCCTCATCAAGTCTCTCTGGCAGAGTCGAGCCTGGAGCCAGGGCTTGTCTCAGCTAAGGTGCCTCAACATCTGCACAGCGGCTTCTCCAAGGGCCTTCAGGGGACTCTCAACCCTGTACCTGACACACAGCTTCATGACCTTAACGACAGAATGCACGGATATGATTCCATGAAGCAACTGAGAAAAACAGAGGAGCCCAACAGCCTCCCTGTGCCCGCAAAGGTACTTCTGTGTTCATTTCTTGGTATTAGGGAGTAGACAGTATCCAAGCCAATGATTAGGATTAATCAGAATTGTATATGTTTTGTTGGCTTGTGGACATGTCTGTAAGGGATTGCTTTGATTGTTACTGACTCAGCTCATTGTGGGTAGGATCATTTCCTAGGCAGGGAGGTCCTGAACAGTGTAAGAGAAGAGAGAGCAGCTAAAAAGAGCAGCAAGCAAGGACCCATGTGGCATTCTCTCTCTGCTCTTGACTGTGGGTGTGCAAGTTCCAGCCTTGACTTCCCTTCAGTGATAGACTGTGACCTGGAATTGTAAGCCAAATAAACCCTTCCCTCCCCTAAGCTGCTTTTGATTAATGGAGTTTTATCACAGCAGTAGAAATGAAACTAAGACATGTAGATTTAAGTAAAATGATCAGTTACTTAATTTGTAAACTATCTGTTCTTAAAGTATTTATATTTAGCATTTCTAGGCTTTTTTTTTCAAGTGATGACTCAGAATATTCCATTATAGAAATGACTTTGCTTAAATAATTTTATTTTGCCTTTCCTTTACACTGTGAAAATTACTTATTCATTTTTGGTTTGCAGATAAAATTAGTCCCAGAAATGTATGTCAGTAATTTGATGACTATTGTGAGATAGTTTATTGTACATATATACTGTATATAAATCAAACAATCTATATACAGAAGATATCCAAAGTATTTTTGTCTTGTTTTACCTAATTTTCTTGAACTCACTCATTGAAGTTTTCCATGCATAAGGAATTACCTTGCTAGTATTTTTGTTTGTCCTTATTTGATAAAATTTGGAATTCTTCCCTCTCCACAAAGTGTCTAATTAACCTTCCATTTGAAAATAGGTCAGGTTTGTATCAGTTTCATAGAGATGAAAGAATTCATTGGGACTGGTGAGCTATAAAAATTAAGACCAAAATTTGATTTGGTGGATTATTTAATTTAAAAAAAAGATACAAACAAGCCACGTGCCTTTAATCCCAGCACTTGCGAGGTAGAAGCAGGAGGATCTCTTTGAGATCAAAGTCAGCTAGTCAGCTCCTAGTCAGTTCTAGGCCAGCTAGGGCTACAGGGAGACCTTGTTTCAACAATACAAAAAAACACAACGCAACGCAACACAACACAACAAAAACAAAAAAACAAGGTGGGGAAGTTCGAAGAGGGTGGGGGGAGGTGGAGGGGGAATATGGGAGGAGTTGGGGGGAGGAATGGAGGTGAATATTATCAAAATACTTTGTATGAAATTCTCAAAGAATTAATAGCTATTATATTAAAAATGAAAAAATGCATCTTTTTACAATCGTAAACTCATGGCTAATTCTATTTATATAATTTAGTGTCATAGCAAATGAAGGTGTATGGTCTAGCTGATGGTTTATCCAACCTCTAGAACAGCTGTACAATCTATAGCAATGGATAGTTAGGTACTGCCTTGACATTTTATCTTCAGAATATTCAAATTTCCTTTTCCTTCCTTCTCTCCAGTCCTTTCCCCTCTTTCCTCTTGCCTTCTTTCCTGGTCCTGTCCCCTCCTCTCCCTCCTCCTCACTCCTTCCTCTCCCTCCTCCCCTCCCCTCCTCTCCCCTCCCCTCTCTTACTTCCCTTTCTTTTCTTTCTCCTTCCTTTTTCTCTCTTCTCCCTTCCCCTGTCCCCTTCTTTTCCTCCCTTTTCTTTAATGGTCCTAAGATCAAACCCAGAGCCTTATACGTGCTTGGCAAGCGCTTAGCTATACCCTCTGCCCCTAAACTTTACAGATTAGGAGGATAGGGCTACAGTGATAGACCCTATTCAAAGTATGTTATAAACTATTTTGAGAATGTAAATTACTGATGACTATCAGGAACTATTGCTCTATTGCTATTCAGAAGTTTGGTGACACTTGTTCAAGGCCTTCTAGCAAGTTTGTATTTAGTTTGGTTATAAGGAATTAAGATTACAATGTGGAGTTTTTTGGAGTACTTTTTAGTATTTTCCATTTTAAATTTAGGAACCAAATGTACGCTACACTAAAAATTATACAGTATTTGGTTTTGAGGTAAAAGGTGTAAACTGCTTTCCTCCTTTGCTGCTTTTTGACATTTTCCTCCCTGATTCTTCATGAACTTTGCAGACTTTGGGTCTGATGAATCAAGGGCTTGCTCTGTTCTTGTTAGTTGTCATCATGTTCTTTTTCTGATATGAGAAAATAGATTAGTTAAGGGATATTAATCAAGGATTGTTTAGGGGTTGCTTTGAATGTTACTCTCTGAAATTCAGTTATAGCCTGTATCCTAGATGTAATACTAACCTCAAAACTTAGAATGATCAGAAATGACATATATAGAGGACTTGGGTTGTGAAACAGTAGCAAGCTTTGGAATTAGTGCTACTATGCTTATGGTGTACTGAGTTGGGTAGAGTGGTGGTGGTGGGGTTAATCGAGACAACAGTGGATTGTTCAGTAGTGAGGTCCTGGCGAATGAACAGTGGGTGTTAACTGCTGCTTCTCCGCATCCTGGCTTCCAGACATTTGTTCAAAGTGCATCCTGACTATGTCCTTCCCTTGCCTAATGCATTACTGTCTGTTTATCACCTATGAAAGATAAAACTTCAGCTTCTTCATATGACATACATGGGCCTCTGTTTTCTCTGTCAGCTTCTTCTTTTCTGCCTACTATTTTATTGGAAAGACCAAAGATGGGTGGTTCTGTTGGTTATTTCTTAGTTATTTCTTCAGACCTTCTCATGTTAAATTTATTTATGCATTTGTGTGTGTGGGGGGGGGGGATGTGGGCACTGGGTCCACATGTGCCATCATGTTCCCATGGTGGAGTTGGTTCTCTTTCCACCTTACACAGGTTCTGAGGATTGAACCCTGAGGACTGGCTGTGAAGCTTGTGTGGCAAGCGCTTTACCTATTGTGCCATCCCAGTGGCTCCTCATAGCTTTCCCTTTGAAAAAATTTCCCTCAGTGGTTTGGGGGCCAAACCCACAGCCTTGTGTGTGCTAAGCAAGTCACTGAACTACATTCCAGCTCCTGTTCTTGCTTGTCGTCCCCTTTACTTAGTGCTAGGTCTTCTCTTGACCATTCAGTTCCTCCCTACACATTTGTTATTTTATTCGGAACTTTCAATACCTTTTAACCCAACCTCCTCTCAATTAGATTGTTTTTATCTCCTTTGTGTGGTCATAGTACTTAAGCATGTGTTTGTCAAAAAATACATTTAAATGTCCTATTTGCATTTGAAAGAACATTTAATTTATAGTTGTATAAATACCTATGAGTTATCCCCATATATATTATAGAACAAGATTTTAAAGAACAAGACCTATGATTAGATTTTGTTGTTGTTGTTTTATTTTGGGTCAGTGGTTCTCAATCTTGGCTGAATATTAGAATCACTAGAGACATTAAAAAATGTTCATGTCTATCCCAAGGAATGTAGATCTAACTAGTCTGGTCAGTCACCAGTATTAAGTTTCTGAGGGTAACTGTATCATGTAATCAATATTAAGTACCATATATGCTGCTCAGAATCAATGTATAGATGAAATAAAGAGATAGGAAAAATATATAATTTAAAGAAAGAGTTTTTCAAATCTATGACATTCTAGTGAAAGATAAGATGTCATAATATAGTTATTTGAATTGTTAAGAAATTTTTGAGATAGCCTCATTCTGTAGTCCATGCTGGCCTCTAGTAATGGCAATCCTCCTGCCAGTCTCCTGAGTGCTAGGATTGTAGGGTGAGCCACTACACCCAGTTATTTGAATTCTGAATTCAGTTAAATTGAGCAAAAGTTAAAAAAAATATTTTAGACTTGTATTTGTGTGTGTGTGTGTGTGTGTGTGTGTGTGTGTGAGTGTACACAGAGGTGTGCATACTGTGGTGGTGAATGGAGGTTAGAAGGCAATTTTTGTAGTCGGTTCTCTCCCTTCACCTTGCTGAGGCAGGGCATCTCTTGCTTCTGTGGAAGGGCTGTGCACTCCAGGCTAGTGGGCCCCTGAGCCTCTGCCAGATAATCCTGTCTCCATCTCCCATTTTGTTGTAGGAGTGTTAGGATCAGAGATGCATGCTGCTGTTTCTGGCTTAATATGGGTTCTAGGGATCTAAGTCATTAGGCACGGAGCAAGGGTTTTGACCTGCTGAGCCCTCTCACTGGCCCTGAACAGTTTTTAAACCTCTGTATGCCTTGTCTAATTAAGAAAGTTTTTTTAACATTTTTTTTTGTATTTATCAAAATATGCTAAGGCATTCTGTAGTGGTTATTGTCAACTTAGTTGGACAGAGAAACAACATTTCTGGGTGTGTCTATGAGACTGTTTCCAGGGATAGTTAACTAAGGGGGAAAGACGTCCCCCAGTGTAGATGGAACCATCCAAGAGGTGGTGTGTGTGTGTGTGTGTGTGTGTGTGTGTGTGTGTACAGATAGAATGAAAGGGGAAGAAGGAAGCCCAGAAGCACATACACTTTCTCTGCTTCCTGACTGCTGAGGTGAGCATGCTCCACAGCATGCTCCAGTTGACATGATGGTCAGCTTTACCACAGGCCCAAATCAGTGGGCTCAAACCTCTGAAACCATGAGCCAAAGTAAATCTTTCCTTCTCCACATTGTTTCTCTCAGGCATTTGCCACACTGGCACAGACTCTAACAGTATGGCACATGGAAGTGGAACAGTGGGATGCTTGTTTCTGTACACAGCCAGTTCATAGAGGTGTTGTCACCATATTATGAGAAATCTGGATTAAATTCCTGTGAAGAAGCTTTGCCCTGACATCATGAACAACATTATTTAGGGTGGGGGAGGATTGTGCTATAATTTAGGCTTCTTATGTTTTGTATTTATCTACTCTTGAAGTTTTGAAGTTCTGTCAGCCTTTACTAGCCATTGGAAAATAGTTCTTTCTTAAATTGTAATGGTTGGAAGCTGGGTTTGGCAAGGCTTTGTCTTGAGGAATCCCGTTTATTTGCTTATTGTATTATCCAGCCACAGAAA